CTTCAAAGTTAATTAACTGTTTTCTTTTAAACTGTTCTCTTAGTACATTCCTCACTTGCTTTCTCAAAGAGCAATGTACCATTGGTTATTATTCAAAATTTGCAGCAAATAGTGTTTTCCATTTTTACTACCGAGTAACAATGTTTCCAAAGAATAAGATCATTAATACAAATATCAATATCTTGGTTTGTTTTTCAACCTTCACTTTCTCAAAAGGATACATTTTCCAATCAAACAAACATAATTTAACTTAATTTCCTGCTTTAGAAATGAAAGTTAATGGAAATTTTCAAAGAGGCATTCCTATCTATAAGAAAATAAGCCAAATTGTTTTGTCACCTTGAAAGGTGTATTTTGCCAATTCCTCTTAAGTTTTCATATCAGTTTATTTTGTTCTAATAAACCTTTATCGAACTTGAAATAATATTTAACTAGGGCTGTCTTTTCGCTATCGAAGCTTCGGCAAATAATTCATTCGTACCTCCCTAATTGATGTTTCACACATGTTCGAAGGCCCCGTCAATAGTGCGGTAAGTTCTCCTAAACAAAAAACAGATAACTCGTAAAGGCATATATAAAAAACGACATCGATCAAATAGTTTTCAGTCTTCAATGAAATTCCTCAAACGCGCTGTCGACAAAACACCTGGTGAAAATAAGGAGAATATTTGTTTTGACTGAGGCAAGGTAGTGAAATAAAGCGCACTTACAAAGATAATTGCAAATTTAATTAAAGGTACAAACACAATGAGGATGAGAAGTTTTTTGCTTGTCAACTCGTAGAGTTCAGAGGCTTTTTTTCAAAGCTAGAACATTCAAGGTGGTTATGGGTTTTGAAAAGTCGACTTGCTCACCGTTGACAATTGTTATCAACATTAATTAAGAGACATAAAGTACAGAAATAAACAACAGCTACAGCTTTTACGAAGCTAGGAATTCGCTAAATCATTCCCTCCATAGGAACTGTTACTACCTTGAAATCAACCTCGATGTACCTCTATACGTTTTTATCGCGAACATAACAGTTTCCGTTATCAATGGAGTATCATCCGTTGTGGCAGTGATGGCGAAAAGCTTAGTACTTGTTGCCATGTGGAAAAATCCCTCCCTTCACAGATAAGAGCCTGTTATATATGTCGAAATGACGGCCTGTCATTTGATGGAGTCAGTGAAACTTTTTAGAATGGGAGTGAAGATTATTTTTGAGCTCGGAAAGCGTTGAATAGAGAATTTTGACTTAGTTCGTGAAAGTGTGTTGAACGTTTGTTGAAAAGTAAAGCATTATCACGAATTATCCCCAACACCACGCATTTCCTCAATTAACCATATGATGGAGGTCAGGTTGTCGAAACGTCAGTTTATTTTTCAGAGATAATGGCTCATAATTATTTTGAGGACGACTCTCATCCCACCTGGACTAACATTATACGATGGACTGTTCCTCTCAGGCGAAACCCTTGACTATGAAAGAGCATCTATAGTAATTAATTTTCAAAGGCCAACACGAAATCGAAGATCTTTGCAATTCTCTTAACCAGAGAATAAAAATGAGAGCGTGATTTAAATTTTTTTTATTTGGTCATTTTTGTCGAGAAATATGGAGGGATGTCTGACTACATTATTTTTCTGAGAAGGACTTGGCTCTGAGATCTCAAAGACTGACTTCTCGTATATTTGGAGAAATCATTACGGTGCACTGAAATTACATGAGCGATAAGATAAACTCAAAGTATAAACTACAAATGTAATGTTTCCAATGGGTTTGAGCAGATTTTTCTCACCCAGTGGAGCTAAACGCTCCTCTAGCCCTTCATGTCACTCCGTCTTTTAATTTAGCTCATTATCAACCCATTCCTGACAAGATCAGGTGAATTTTAAAAGTAGCTAAATTTACTGACACTGTGCAATGTCCTTCTTGGGCTTTGGTAGATGGGGGTCTCATCTTCTCTCAGTATAAAGAGAGATATTTTACATCCTACAGAGATAAAATTCATGGCTTGAAACAAGAGAGCATCGTGATCAAAAGTAAAGTTCTTCAAAGTGAAAGACTTCAAAGGTTCCATTGCTTTTCACAGACGTAACTCCTGTAATGAGTATAACAGTTCAAATCATTCCATTCGCCAGCGACGTTATCCACGACCTCAGTACAATTTTCGTCTCCGCTATTATTTGGTTCATCAGGATACCATTTAGTGAATGACACAGAAGATCCATCATTCCATTCAAACACGGAGTTGTTTCTTAAGTTGTTAAGTCCAATCCAGTATCTTGAATAAATTGATGATGCAACCTTTTCCCGAATAACCTTGTTTTCTGCATCTGAATGAATGGATGTAAGATTGCTGTTCAAGTTTTGACACGCTTGTTGAGCAGTGAACCAGTTTACCTGTTCATTAAACTCCTTATAGCATGAATTGTTAACTCTGAGCCAGCCAGGAGTGGAGCATGTGGCTGTGGAAAGTGACACTGTGTTAGTTGTTGTGTAAGCAGTCAAATGATGACATGGTGTGCTGTAACAACAGAATGTGCATGCACCAATGGTAATTATGGTATATTGGTTCTAAGTCTTTATTACCAAAAGAAAATATGAAGGTAGCGTTCTAATTCGAGGGCATACAAAGTTGTTCCAGCCTTCCGAGACCACATCCTTACATCTCTTATGTAGGAACTTAAAATCATCATGTTAGCGATACCAGGCTAATGAGGCCCAATTTGTCTCGAACAGCTCTTCATCGCTTCCAATCGATGATTTACTTTTTTCTTTCTATTTTCGATACAAAAGAAATGTTCGAGGGAGTGTGGTTTATTCGTTAGCGATAACCTCCAATCGGATGTAAGGATTTGCAGTAATAATTGACATTCAAATGCCACGGAAGTTGAAACAATGTCGATCTAAGAACCTCATATAAACCTAGAGTACTAAGCTTACCAGTTTCACAGAACTTTCCAACGATGTTTGGCTTGCATGAACACTTGAATCGCTTGCCTGTGACGTCACAAGTCTCGTGACATGTTCCACCGTTAAAGCAGGTCTGAGTTGCACAACATCCATTGTAACACTCAGCCAAGGGGACGTTTGTCTAGACAAATTTGTTTATTCAGAACCAAAGGGTAAAAACATAAAAAAAGAAAAGTTATGTTTCAAAGAATAAGTTCATGACCTAAAATGGCATGTGAAACATAGTGATATTGGAGACTTGGAAGAAGAGTTTTCCATTTCAGCTATTTCAAGGTTACTTTTAATCCCCAAACAATTTTGTCACAATGCATTGTAGAAAACAAAAGTTAAAACCTCCTCTAATCAGTTTTTGCAAGGCTTTTTGTAGTGACTTTTTCTCTTCGGAGACTACGTCCATCAAGCGACCACTTTTTTCCTGTACCAATTATGGTCGTTTAAGTGAAACTTGACTCGCAGGAACAGCACTAAAAATTCCTCAAAACTTTCCTCGATTCGTTGCTTCCAAGGTCATAATATGCATCCTGAAGTAACCGCAGGCTTCGTGCCGTTTTAAGCTATATCTTTCTTTCCTTCACTGAATTTTTTTTTAATTTCTCCACTTTAAAGGAGATGATTTGTACACCAAAATTAAGCAATAAAAAATGTAGGTCACCGTGTTCGTTCAAGAGCTAAGGACCATCGTACCTCTTTGCTTGGTCTATTAATTGAAAAACACGACCGTGTTCTCGGAATGCACGCGCGCTTATTCGCCTGATTATGTGATTTCGAAATCTGCGAAGTACAGGATGCAGTGTGTAGTATTGAGGAATCACCTTAAGCTTTCCTTACCCTAATATCATAGCTGACGATTAGATCGTAGTACTGCGATCCCTCTAGAGGCTTCAACGCACTGAAATTGGTATACCTACTTTCCTCATTAAGCTCGCAGTTATTTTTATTCACATCGGTCAGATAATTGAACGAGATGCACCGACAGTCAGACTGGCACTTTTCAAAGCATCTGATTGGCTGTGTTACAGTCATCTGACGTAACAGGTGACCCCGAAGGGCATAGTTGTTTATCATGTTTCTTCCTGAAGCGAAGAAGAATCCTCCTGTTAAACAGTTGTTTATGGAAGATAGTACACCAGGCTGCGCAGAATGAAGGATGACGAGCAGAGGCAAAGTCATCATGATTCCACTGAAAAGCTCCGTTAACATGTCTGATGTATCCGCCGGATGGGTCTCTAACTAGTAAGGAAAATAAATGAAATGAAATAATAGAATTGAAAATTCAACTTCGCCACTTGAGTAAACATAAGAACTTGGTAACCATGCTGCGATTGCAAATCGACCTTTCCTTCAATGACTGTGCAATCCGTCTCTTGACAGTTAAGTTAAGGGCTCACTTGATAGGAAAAGTTATTGTCCAGCTATATAGGGAAAGATATCATACACTGACAGCTCGCGTCAAGACAGAACTCGAGAATTTTTATTTACCGTGATGATGGTTTTGCCGTTAAATTAGCATGTTACGAACTCAAGGCAGTGAGTTTGACGGAGAAAGAAAAGTGAGGGAGAAATGACCACTAGATCATCTGCAAAAATGGACAACGTTTTGCTTATGATCTAGTAGTCACTGAACGTCAACTTGGTGCGGTGATGACAACAGATTTGGAACTGAGGAACCGTTCGTATTGATGATTTCAAATACTGCAGTACTTAAGACAGAAGTCTTAAATAATTGATCGTATTCTCTTAGGCAACAACGGGAACATTCGTGACAAGGAATAGTGCGTTAGAACACTCATAGCCGTAGAGAGTACATGAAATTTTTATGTAATTAATTTTTCACCTGCTCTTAGAATGAAAGCCTAACTTAGTCAATATGTTCAACAAACTACCAAGAGCTTCTTTCCGTTGCATCGTCATCGTTACAATACAGGGAAAGAAATCATACACTAACAGGTCGCGTCAAGACAGAAGTCGAGAATTTGTACTTACTGCGATGATGGTTTTGCCGTTAAATTAGCATGTTACGAACTCAAGGCAGTGAGTTTGATGGAGAAAGAAAAGTGAGGGGATCTTGGATACATAAACCTTAAACATTCTCCTTATATTAATACGCTGATTACCGATAAAATCATAAACTACAAAATTACAAAACGCGATGTTGTTTGCAGTGACGAAGCTATGCCTGTGCTACTCGTAATCTGATTGGTTGTGTTGTTTGATTTACGTCACTTGGCAATACGAGAACATGCGCAAAAATTGCTCATTATAAACAGGTCCCGAGCGTGTCAATGAAATTCACCGCATTTGTTAATTTGGTACTTCAGGAGTTTCACCCCTCCGCGTTTTGTAATAAACAACATCTGACGTCTTTTAACTTTCAATTGCAGTAAAAATGACCACTAGGTCATCCGCAAAAATGAACAACGTTTTGCGGATGATCTAGTAGCCACTGTACGTCAACTTGGTGCGGTGATGACAACAGATTTGGAACTGAGGAACCGTTCGTCAAGGAATTTTAGCGATGCAGTAACCAAAATAATCATAAACATATAATCCGTGAAATAGGCTTAATAACCTTAGCAGTAGTAACTGCCACGATACGATAAAAACGGGAGGAAAAACTGTCAGTAAATGCCACACTATTCAGTTCATGGGAGCCTTGAATGTTGGTCGTCCCTATGAACGCTCTTAAATGGCGAGATTGGGGTTCCTGTGCTTCAATTGAATTTCAGAGGCGAGGCGAAGAAAGAGGATTTTGTATTTTATTTCCATGTTGGTGTATGCAAAATAAACTACAAAAATTTGGAATCAAGAGTAAAAGCTAATGGCTATTCATCTTCAATTTTTTTCACCATGGGTGACGATCTCAAAAGAATGAAGTTAATTTATCACTTAGCTATTTCTAATGACAGGTGGAGGGGAGAACAAAAGGCGAGAATAATAAACAACTTGAACGGTATCTAGCTAACAAAGGCCTACCTACAATAGCCCAACATAAACCAATCATCTTTAACCTCCCGTGCTGTTCTTGAAGAAACGGTAATGTCAGCGCTAGGGTAATATTATTTAGTCCCTCATGTAAAATGATAATGTGGATGATCAACCGGCCAAGAAAATAACATTAATCTGACATAAAGTTAAAACGCAACCTCAGACATGAGGGGACAGTTTATGGAACGATTATGTTGCAAGAATAAGAAATAACCAATCACTTTGTTCTGTGTCGTCAAACCACTTAACAGTGAGAGGTATACTCTGTGTTGCTAGAATGTTTGTGTAGCTTTTGACGATTACCAGTTTTGAGACTGACCTTCAGAGTATCAACTGATGTAGAAATTCACCCTGCTCCAGGGGCATGGAATGATTAGGTTTTTTAAAGCAACCATGAGCTATTTTCTCCCTACAGAATTCCACATATCAATGTCAATATTGCTTTATAGACATTCCAAAATAAAAAAGACTTTTTGCCATTGACATCCACATGTTTTTTGATCTGGTTCACTGCTATGAGAATTCACATTTAGAGGATCTTTGGTAACAAAGGCTGAAGAATTGTGTATCTATCCCTAATCATCTCTAGTGCTACTTGTTAACTTTATAAATTCGAAGAGCAACATAGACAGCTAAACTTCCAATTGCCAATCCAATTGACAGAGCTCCTACGTTGGAATTGTAGAAATGTTTTAATGTACTAATAACTGCATTAGGGGGTTCTTCCTGATCTGGTTCAAGTGTTACTGGTCCATCTGTCACTGTTACTTCTGGTGAGCTTGGGACTTCGTTTGACTGCAAAATAGGCCAAAAAATCAACGAACTAAACCACACTTTTAGTATAGAGGAAATAGTTCCTCATATCCTTACTTACAACCAGTAATAGGCTGCTGATTTGTAACCCCACATTGACCATCCCACAACTTGTATAGAGAAAGATTATATTTCATAAAATCAAATATCAAGAAACAAGTCAAAAAAGTACACAATATTCAAAACTGACCAACAGATATGCCTCCGCATTCTTCTCCACTAGTAAGGAAACAGTTTCTTCTGCTTTGTGGAATTCATTGACAGCTTCATCATGAGTCACACGTTCAAGATTTGTGGCATTTAGCTATTGAAAAAATACAAAGAATCACAATAAACTTTGAGTAATTCACCTTATTGTGTTCAGTCTTGAGAGCCATGTCAACCCATATGTATTATTCTTCAAAGTTAAGTTTTTCAAAATCAGTGAAAGATCAAAGTTTCCCACAAGGAATCAAACCCCAAGCCTTTGGATTTTGTAGCCAGATGCTCTACCATTGAGTAACAGTGAGAGAACTTTCCACTGAGCAAGGCCATTGCTAGGTTGATATGCAAGGAACCTCCTGCATTCTGCTAGGATCAGCAGTGCCCAAATCAATTACAACACAAAGTAAATTCTCATCTTAGCTGAAGATTTATCTTTTACACCCCAATATTAGTATTGATATTCTCCACTGATATCTTTAAATTTCCTTAAAGGGTAAGGAGGTTAAAGTGTCATAGGGTTCTTTCCTTATTAAAGCTTTTATAAAAGAACCCATAACAGGTTGCCAGAAAACAAAGCTTGGTGGTCAACCCTGAACTGGGTCTTAGTAGTTGGAATATTAGGTGTATTTTTGTATTTATAAGATTAAGTTTTTTTTCATTTATTTAAAAAATCCTGCTTGAACTACATACTGCCAATATCCTGTCCCCTGGTTCTAGTCTCCCATCTCTCCCAGCCACACTGTCAGCTCTGACAGTGGTGATGAATATTCCTGGGTCACACCCGACATGAGGGTGATCAACTCCGCCTCGAATGTTAAAACCAAACCCTGAAGGAGATAAAACAAATTTTAGGCCTGATGATCAGAGTCGCAACCAGTATTTATGAGCTCACAGCCTCCCTGCTTTCAATTCATCTATTATTTCATGATTTTCCAATAAAACTAAGGGTCTTTTAATTTTCCACTAATAGCAACTCGAATAATGATTGGATGTCTAATTTAAAACCTTGAGGTTATAAATACTGATTTTAAAATTGTTTAAATCTACTCTACTGCTAGTGGATGGATTTTGAACAAAAGGGGATTCCCTCGCACAGGAGTCCATCTAGTTTTAAATTCAACAATATACTTCATCAGGCGATCTACTTAATATTTTTCAACCTAAATCGATTTTATGTGATATTGGCTTCAAAAGGAAATTCCTAGAATGGACATTTAGTAAATGTGTAACATACCAAACAAATGAAAGAATTAGTATGTTCTAGACGATCTTATGTGAACATGTGAAGTAACATCACTTTAAACGGAGTTCGCTGTACAAAGCTTTTTTGAGTAGACGAATGATGAACGAGAAGCTGCGATATTGAAACGTAAGACATACTGTGTAGACAATGCACGCACCATTTAGGATGCTGTGACCATCTTTGAGTTCTGTTTTGAATGAGTTTTCACGAACAATAACAACTTTGTTGCGGTAGGTATTAATATGCTTTCAAACTGAAAACCGGACAGATCTTTAACTAAAACTCTAACGCCATTAGCAAGTATTTAAATTAATCGTATTTAAAGGTTGTATGAGCTCAAATCTATTTATGGAGGTTCCATACATTCCGTGCAGTGAGGTGTCAAGCTAGCGCACACTTGTTAACAATACCTTCACGTCGACCTCGAATTTGCGAAAAAAGAAAATTTTCATTCCCACGTATCAGTATTTCGTCAAAGTAGAGAGCGTTCGGAAAGACAATTACGCCAAGGTAATAAGGTCCGAAGGTCAAAATAGCTGAGTCCGCGATAAATATTCTTACGTACCTTCGTCTCCTTTCGTCAAATGCACAACAACTAATCGTGAGCTTTCTACTCCTTTGCTAAGTTCATCCCAGAGTTCCTTCTGTTCGTCGCCATCCGTGTACACCTGTTGTAGTAAAGATTGCCGTGAACTTCCCTAGCAGACATTCTAGTGGTTTATGTTCGAATTACCCTCAAATTTCAATGCTACTCACGTTCATGTTGCGTGGACCCTCGCCTTACCTGCCGAGGCGAGCCGTGAAATGAAGAAACTGGGATCAAGCACGCTCCTTTCCAATCTTCCCGCGCCCGAACATAATTATCACGCTTATCGGTCACGCGTGACACCTGGATGTCACGCAGTACTTATTACAATATAAAGCATTCTGATTTTATCCATTTATTTCTTCATCTCTTCATTCATTAAATGTATCATAAATTATTTACATTTCCATGCATTGCCTCTTTTGCATTACAAAAAAATTAAAAAGGAACACTTTCTTTGCAAAGGCCACTTTCATCTGTGGTATGATTTATATATTTCTATTCTTAACATTCACGTAAATTAGCTTAACTGCCATCAACAACAGGTTCAAAACCAAATTGTCACTCAAAAGTACATGTAACACCAGGAACTGAAGGAGGCTAATCTGGACATGCGTAAAAGATAATAATAGTTAAACCCATCCTTATGAACTAAGTCATGTAATATCAATATGATTATAATTATAAATAAATGCATCAATCAAATACACGTACAACTCTTCAAAATTCACTTTTTTAAAACACTCACAGTAATACTATGCTTGGAACAATTAAAATTACAACAACCGAAATAAGAGAGTAACGGATGAACCCGGCAGAATAAAACAGCGTAGGATGTGATTTAGGTAAAGATATCACTTCCAATAACTGTAATACAAAAAGTGACAATGGAATTTTTAGACTTCCTGTCAGTAATGTTGTTTGAAATCCTCTCCAGTTATTTTCCCTTGTTTTAAGAATCAATCTTATCACAGTGAAAGCAATTCC